GGTAGGGTCTAGAACCGATTAACCGCGATAAACGAGGGTTCACTGTATCTTCTATAGATACGATATGTTATTCCCTTACTTTGTGTCAGATTCTCTATTTTGTATTTTACATACATTAGCTAGTTTTTTCCTTGATATTTTTCTTTGCCATTTTCATTCCCATTTGTAAATTAGGTAAATGAACCTCAGACAGTTTAATTCAGTTCTTTAAACATATTATAAACTGTATCTGGGGTTCCATTTTTCCTGTTCCCCAAGCCCTAATGTACTTCCAAATTTAATTCCATCTGCAGAATCTTTTAACCAAATGAGTTCTGTTAAGTGGAAATAACAATGCAAACAGACAGGAACAACAACTGTCCCCCAAAAGTGACATTATTTCTGAATATATAGAAGTGGTATGTAGTAGATATTTCAGTAATTTTTTAATAAAAGTGATAATGTAGTTAATATTTATTAAAACAAGGGAGTTTTTGCAGAGGAAAGCTATGTAAAGGTTCTACATCCTTTGTATCTGTAAATAAAGTGGGAATTGTACGTGGTCATAATCATTTTTTTTCAGAAGATTGAAGTACTCACATATCCCTAAATAAATTTTATCTCCTACTCCTCAGTTACTGGCAGATAATGATTTTATTTATTCTTTCACATAATAAATATTAGAAGATCAAGTTACTTTGCAAGAGCTGGCATTTAAATAAACAAGCAAAAAAAGAAACAAGAACAACATAAAGTGAGATGCTTTCACAGTTAAAGATTGTTGTTATTTTTGTTAGGTGATGTTGAATCAATTCCAAGTTATATTCGTCCTATATGTAACAACATGAAACACTGCCCCGATACTGCACCATTCCAACCATTGTTATGTTTGAGCTCATTACTGTAGCCTCTGTAATAATCCATCTTGTTGGGGATCTTTCTGCTTTTTACTGACTTTGTTCTCGGCCAAGCATTTTGTCCTTTTCCAGGGGCTGGTCCCTCTGATACTACGTCTGAAGTACATGAGACAATGTCTTGCCACCTTAAGGAGTTTTCTGACTGTGCTTCTTCCAGGACAGATTTGTTTAATCTTCTGGTCATGCACTAAACTCTTGTCATTGAATGGGTTATAATTTATATTGACCCTACATAGGATTTCCAAAACTGGAAACATTAAAGGGAGTAGGCAGCCTCATTTTCCTCAGCCCAACCCCTCGCCCTAAAGTATAATGGAAAAACAAAAGCAAAGTACATACTGGCCATTCACACATACCCTGCTTATTAGGCATGCCATCCTGGCCAGAAATTATAAATTTGAGAAGAGGCTTTCATTGTAAAGGAAGGTGCTGTGGATTTTGCAGTGGCAAATGTCAGTTATACCTGAAAGCAGAACCTTTGATATGTTGAAAACGGTCGGTTTCTTCACTACAGATTAGTAAGTATGAGTAAGCCCACACTTTTCTTGCCTAGTGGGTAATCCAACACGGCCTAGAGGGTCACTCTGAGTTGAAATCAACATGGTAGCAAACTTTTAATTAACTCATTTATTAATATTTTATGAGATTCAGAGTATCCTGTAACTTGGCGAATGGCCATTTTGACAGATGGAGTGAGAAGTAAGCATTTAGGAGACTTGCTCAGGGGCATGCTCAGAAAGCCAACAACTAATATATGCTCAGAGCTGCCTGAGCATCATCACCATCTTTTCTAGTAGTGTCATTAGGCATGTGGTAATGCGGATGATTTGCATTAGATTACTCATGTGCATGTGGCTCTTGGAATCCACTCTCACACTCCTTGGATGATAGGCCTGCCTAGGAGATCTGCTTCCAACAAAGAGCACCCTGTGGAGCACCTTTACTCTGGTGTCTGCTCCACAGGAGGTCAGCCAGAGTCAGAATCAACTCCTTAGGAACTAACAACAGTACTCTCCTCTTGTTGAAATCATCCATTAATGCTTTCTACATAGTTTTAAACCGCAGGAGTTCCTTGTTTGAATTTCAGAATTGATTTAAACCAAGAGGGCTTGATTTCCTTCTCTTCCCCACAAACACGGACAAAGAAATCTTATTGGTATAGGCACATTATCAGAATTTTGTTGTTGTTTGTTTTTGCTCTTTGGTTGTTTTGATTGCATGATCTGTTTTTTTCAAAACTCTAAGCAAGGACAACTTAATAGACTGCTACTTCCCTTTGTCCCCACAAGAGCAAGAGCAATGTGTGTATCTGCAACTTCCCTAGAACCCCACTGTGCCCTTCCAACCTACACCATGATATCGTTAGGATTACAGGACCATGATACTCTCTTCTGCTCACTCATGTTTCCTATTTTTTCAAACTCATATCTGGAATAATACTGCTATTTTTGGCTTCCTCAAACCACCCACAGGATATTTTACATTTTAAGAATATCATGTAATGTTATTTCTAAGGGTTTTTTTCATTCCCTAATGCTACTATAACAGAAACACCACACATGGATATCTTTAAAGAACAAAACTTAGTTTTCTCTCAATTTTGGAAGCTGAAAGTCCAAATCAGGGTCTTAGCTGTTTCAGTGGCCCCTGCGAGCCCCTCCTCTAGGGTTGGTGTCTGTCTGTGATCATTGGCTTTCATTGCCGTTCCTTTCTATCTCTCGTCCCGCAATGTGTGTCTGTGAGCTATTTTGCTATTTTTATGACTAAAAATAATTAGGTTTAGGACCAATCTTCTTTTGATATGCCTTCATTATCCAAAAAGCAAACCCACTGCCATTGAGTCAATTTTGACTCATAGCGACCCTAAAGGACAGGGTAGAACTGCTGCTGTGGAATTCTGAGCCTGTAATTCTCTACTGGAATAGAAAGCCTAGTATTTCTCACACAGAATGGCTGGTGGATTTGAACTGCTGACCTTGCTCTTTGAAGCTCAACCTGTAACCCCTATACCACCTGGGCTCCTATGAATTCATGACCATAGGAAAATAAAATCCCTCATTCTAAAGAGGGTCATATTTACAGGTGGAAAGTTTCAACATGTTTATGGAGTGGGGATGGGAAGAGGGGCATCACAATTCAACCCATTATGGACTGCAATAGCGTTCCTCTATGCATCAGCGCTTACTCAGCGTACGTAGAGCAGAGCGAGGCCACAGACGCTTCCAGAGGAGGCAAAGCTTTGGAGCAGCTTACAAACAGAGAGACTTGATGCAATCTCAAAGATGGCCATGGATGACAGACGATGTCCTTTGACAATGCCCATATTACTAGAAGCGTAAGCACATGTGTTATAGCAACACATTAAGTAATGGGATCTGATCATATCTCACTTTTTATTTGTGCCTAAAAATGTTTCATTTGTTTGTTTATTTGCAGGCCAACTCCACAGATTGAATGGGACAGACCAAGTAACATCTTATTAAATGGGAAAAAAAGTAATGACAGTATACTGAAAGTAGAGAATGTCTCGTTCCATGACAAAGGAGTTTATCGCTGCACGGCCAAGAACTTTTTGGGAACAGACTCTCACGATTTTCATGTTATAGTTCAAGGTATTTTTCCAGATCAATTTATTTTTCTTCTATTAAAAAGATTTCCTACATGTATTCAATCTTATTTCTAAACAGAACATGTTAATACCGATGGCTAAGCGCTTTCAACTTTTAATTGTATATATAGTAAATAAAACATCAATTAATTAGGGTTATCCTTTATCCCAAAAGCCCATAGAAAAGGGAAAAAAGGCAAGGGAAGGTCTCAAGTAAGCAACTAAACCTGTATCATCATTTTTTGAGAACTGACTTTTATCAAAGATGTAAGAGAAACTTCCTAATATTGAATTATGAAGGATAAAATGAGTGTTAAGGTGAAAAGATTATTGGACCTGGAACAAAGCCTAGAATTTGTTTTCGTACTTCACCATTCAGTAACTCAGCTTCTTATTTTGGTATTTTCCTAGATATAATCTTGGGGGGTAATTTAAAATCTTGGGTTCAGAAGATATTCAATGTGCTATTTTTGAGAAAGAAAGAATGAATAGATTGTGGGCTATGAAGATCACAAGGTCAAAAGCATATTATATTTAAGGCATTTTGGCACTGTTTCAAGCTTTATTCATCACTAGAGATATTGCTCTTATTGTTGTGTGCCTAGAAATAAAGAGCCAATGATGATATCCTTTTTCAAAAGGGAAGGGTGTCATGAAATGTTGATTTTTATGGCTTGTGTACTGGGCAGACATGAGGTTCTATAGTCTTCTGAACTGGATTGCTGTTGACTATGTTCTGTGAGTCTAATCATGTTTTGTGTAAGTTTAATCATATGATTTGGTTGACTGTGTTGATTGAATTAGGAGAATGATTACTATACATATTCTGTATATTCTTAGTTTTGAAAGGAATTGTCTCTCTAAGTCTATGTTCCCATTTATTTTCTAATACAGTTTACTTCTTAGTATTGGAACAAGGAAAACCTAAGGCTTTTCATTTTAATGGTGATTGTTTTAGTTAATAGGAAGAAAAACGACAGGCAGAAATTTCATTCACAAGTAGGGGTTAGGATACCTCTTTTTGGAGTACCAGCATATGTCTCAGACTTCCCTGCTGTATTAGTCTAGGTACTTTAGAGAAACAAATCCACAGTGACTCATGTATAAGAGAGTTCTATGTAAAGAAAAGGTGCATCGTGAAAACATCCCAACCCAATGCTGCCCAAGCCCACAAGTCCAACATTAACCCATTAACCCAACACCAGTCCACAAAGTCCTCCACCTCACAAAACAGAGGCAATGATGCCGACTGCAGGAGGAAAGCTGAGTCAGTGGACGAACAAGCATCTCAGCACTAGCAGGGGTCTCCACACGGCTGCTCCAGCACCCAGGGCTGCATCGGGATAGGTCCATGTAGCTTCCTTCTCCTTGGGGATGCCTTGTAGGAAGTCAATCTTGCAAGCTGAAGCAGGGAACTGCTAAGGCAGCTGCACCCAGTGCAACCATCACAAAACAAGAGACCCAAGAACTAGAAAGGCGAGGCTTCACCACCCATTTATCCCTCCGCCTTTCAACCAGCACCACATGTGATTATCGGCCAGGCTGGCACAATTAACTAACTCACCTGCCAAATGGATACATTGCACTGGGAATTCAGAATAGAAAAGTGAGATAAAAATATAATTTCCATTCATTCAATTAAAGCACATCTTGTGTAGTATGAACCTTATGTAAAATATATTAACATCAACATCTGTCAGCAATGATATATTCCACTGGCATTAAATTATTCACAAAGAATTTTAGAGGAAATGTTTGAGAGATTTATTTTATCAATGTTTTTAGATATCTATTTCTTTAGTTTTAAATTTTTATTTTATGTAATATTTAGGCATTTGTATGTTTCTGTGTAATTTGGCTACACATGCAATGTGGGTTATTATGATTATTAAGTGCTCCCCCCTTAACTCACGCTGACACATGCATGTATACACAACCAGACATGTCTATTGTCTGCTGCTTTGACTCCAAGTTGCTGACTCTTAGAAATTCTTCCAGATGGCTAGAGCATTGCTACGGTAGCTGAATCTTTTAACAATCTGGTCACGGTTTTCGGGACTCTAAGACCAAAGCTTTCAAAAGAATTGCAGGAGTTGCAAAAAAAAAAAAACTCTGCCATTTAAAATGTTGACACTCGGACTCCAACCGAATGTAGGTGTCCTGGACAAATTGTCGTCAACCTTCACAAGACAACTAATAAAACCATTGGGATGTAAATGTTGTCATAAGATAACCAGTTAATCCTCCCCCCTTAGTGAAAAAACACTAAATGTGTCTGTAACTGTATGTTTTAGGAGTCTCCCTTCATACAGGCAAGTGAAAATCAAGAAGTCTTTTCTTGATTTCCTTTAAGGGTGAAAACAATAAACCTAGCCTTCATTAATCATATGGACGGCTGAGTTCACTTTCTTCCATTTTCTTCTGCTTTTCTGCACCCGTTTCTTTACTCTTTTTGTCTCTTGTTTGGAAACTCACATTAAGTAACAATGATTACCCATCTGGAAGAGAGCAGTGTTATTGTGTGCTTGAAAATCCAGTCCATTCGGAAAACTACAGCAGGCACTGAATGGTGTTCTCTACAAATGTGATAGTTCTTCTTTATTCTATGAGTTTGCAGTGGAAGCTACAGCACGATAAATATGTTTACAAACTACATTTATAAGTAAAATCACCCAAGTCTTTACTGGACACAACTGTACCTTCTAGGTATATTTGGCAGAAATAATTACATATTCAGTAAAAATGTATATACTCAACTGTAACTAAGAAATTTTAAATCTAGAAAATGAAAATATAATTGATCTCCATCACATTTCCACTGACTATTTGAAAATAAACGCCTATTAATAATTTTTAAGTTGGACATGTTTGAATCGTTTAAAA